GATGCTTAACACGGACGATGAATAGACACCGCGTTGTCAGAAATCATCAGGAGAGAAAGGGGAGACCTTTGAGTCTATGCAAATTACCAACCCATCTAAAGCCAATCGACCAGAACACGGGAAATAGGATGTTCGATATCAAAGTGTGGCACATAAAAAGTGGATGAAAGTAAGAAAGAAAAGGAAGGAAAGGAGCGGGGATGAGGAGAGGAGGCTTCTTAGCTTGCTGTCATGTGAAGTGTGACTGACTTTTTTTTTTTTTTTCTCATTTGTGTCTGGTTCTGGTCTGTTCAAATAAAAAGCCAGGCTCATAATCCTGAGTTTGTCACAGCTCACAGTCCAGTATACACAACTAAGACCCCTACTTGTAACCCAACACATGGGATGCATTCACAAAAAGATGCCTTTCACAGAGCTTTAATATAAAGGGAGCCGGGGGTCTGTGAAGCTTCAAAATGAGAATAAAGTCAGCTCAACTCAACTGGAGCTCATTTGCACTCAATAGCCATAAGTTAAACATGGTGCAGGCTGTTAGAAAGATGAGAGATGTTTGACTCTTTAAAGGCATGGCCAATGTCATCTGATCCTGTTTTCAAAGATAAGGACTGAATTTCAAGCAGTCATGCCTCTTCCAAGGCCAATTATAGGTATGAAGCAATGAAAAATATCCCAAATCAGGCATGCTTTACAAAAATATTTATGTTTACTGCTTCCATTTGACATCTCACTCATCGTATTATTTATAATGTAGTCCTTGCAGTGATCCCATGTGTGTCCTTGGATTTGAACTTTGTATAAAATGAGATATAAATGGTTGTAAATGAGAAAAGAGGCAATACCTCCCGACATGTGTTTTTACTTGAGCTCAATGCCGAAATATCTTCTCCATCTCCATCTTTATCACAGTTTTTGTGACACACTGATAGTGCCTGCTTTCATAGACAACAGAAATAAGACATAAGATACGATTTAAAGAAGAGTAGTACAAGCAGATGCACACTTCTTTTTTTTTTAGAGGAAACTCTTTTGACCCCTGAAGCGGAAATAAAAGCAGTTTTTATTCATTACTCAGAAATTAAACTGCACATGACTCATCATCAAGGCTACAAAATGATTTCAATGATCCCCCTCAGAGGCTTTCAAAGCCTAACACATCTCACACACAAGCATTAATCAGCACATGCAACCTGCTTTGGAGACCGCGTTGTTTTAATGCTTCTCGCAAGATTCTTTATTGTAAATGATGTGCTAAATTACAACACACTGTATGAAAAACATCAAATGGCGTTTTTAAAGAGGCACAGATTGCTCCAAAGCTGGGGGTGTTGTGATGCTGTGGCTTCGGAAAGGAATGTCTAAATGCAAATGTGTTATTTCAGAGACTCATCCAGTAAGAACTACTTTCTAGTAAGGTGACATTTAGAATCTGCACTTTGATAGATAATTTAAATTGTGGTTGTTGTGTTTTTTTCAAAGTGTTGACTCTTGTTTGTTTAGTTTTTTAACCATTATAGGAACACATTTAAAATTAAATTTTCTTGTCATGGTCTCCTAATAACTAAACATTTACCCGTACAGCTCCAGCTCTGTATGTCCTAAGACACTTTAAAGAATCAGTGTGATTCTCTACAATTCAAGTCCAAAGTGTGGTTTAACTACTGATCAGCTGAGGGCCACTGGAAAACTCCTCACATGTGGAAAAGAAGTGAAGTGAAACGTCCCAGAATAAAGAAGGAGGATATTCTTTTTTTTTTTTGTTCTAAAGAATCTAAAGGCATTTTAGTATAGGGTCTGCTTGTTATAACACCCCTTCACCGATTTAGCATCTTAAGTCAGATTTCCACTCTCCACATGAGGGGTCAAACATTCAATCTGGGAAGTACAATGTATTCTGTATCGGATTATAAAGGGGTGAAAAAGGAGACGCAATATGTGCAAGAGATGGCATGTGACAGTCTGCTGATTGGAAAGGACTTAAACAGGGTCCTTCATTTTGGAATTGCTAATGGCTTTTTTGCTGAACACACAGTTTGAAGACTTTGAAGAGTTACTTTATAAAAAATGTATTGTAGCAGAGGCATTCCATAAGTGCTGGTATAAAATATAACAGCACAGCTTGGACCTTTGCTTACATGTGTCACTTCTCTTCTGGTGTGCTGATAATCTTAATAAACATTTCATGATGAACGTTAAAGTGAGTGTTCTTACTTTAGATTGGTTAGGTTTACCCATGGAATAACAAATGCAGACAAAAGAAACAGCCAATCGACACAACCTGTGGTTGGTTGATAAATGAAGACGTATACTAAACTAAATGTACACTAAACAAAGCAGCTCTTTGCACTAACATGACACAAAATGTAATGAAATAACAGTAAAGGTTTGTGTTTCTACGGCAGCATTCCTGATCAGTCAAGTAATAATTAATTGTGTTAGTGGAGCCAAATAATAGATGTCTTTAACAACAAGTAATAATATATATAAGTGTTGTATAAAAGAAATATCACACCTGGGGCGCTGGTGGCCTAGTGGTTAGTGCACGTGCCCCATGTGCAGAGGCTGAAGTCCTCAAAGGTGGGCAGCTGCAGGTTCGAGTCTAACCTGTGGTTCCTTTTTCCACATGTCATTCCCCCTCTCTCTCTTTCTCTTCCTGATTTCTGACTCTAACCACTCTCCTGTCTCTTAATTAAGACATAAGAAGGCCAAAAATAAATCTTTAAAAAGTAGAAGCAATATCACACACACAGGTTGTGCTGTTGTACTGAATATCGCCACACGCAATTATCTCTGACACTCAGCCTTTCTAATAATTAGTAAAACCGCACTACTAAATCCATAAATACTAATTATTATTATAAATGCTTATTTCTGCTTAGACATGTGGCAGCAGTAGCCCTCAACAGAAAACATGTTTCCCATTCAAAGAGTTTCTCCTTCTTCATCATGCTAAAAGATTTCATGTAAATTGTCCAAAGCATTGAGGAGTCACATCATTTAAACTGATTCTTTCCTATTACCTGATGAAAAATTGGACTGAGGCAGATGTGGCCAGAGTATTTCAGGCTCTGTGCTTTGATAGAACAGTTCAATCTCAGTTCTGGGCAAAACAGTGAAAATTTAGCAGCTAAAGCAACCACTAAATCATTCCTATAAAATGAAAGAAAGAATACTTTCAAGTTAAAGCTTGTCTAGAATATTATGATGGAGTTAAAGTTTTACAGTCTGAAAACCGAATGCCCACAGAAAGTGGACTTGGCCTTTTAACGCTTCACTGCCCACCAGACATGAAGCGCTTTTTTCTTCTTTTTTTTAGCAGATGCAGAAACTTGAATAAAGTACAAAAAGCCAACTTCATTTATTTTTTTAAATGTTGGAACACAATTTTCCTTAAGGACCTCTTCATGTTAGTAAAGTTTTCAGAGGGAAACTATCTGCTGTCGTGTGTGAAGCCCTCTTACCTCACCTCAGTTCACCTTATATGAACCGACAGTGGTGTTGCTTCTGGTCAATGTATTGATTACAAACTGAGAAATTCTCAACACTGAAAAAGAAAAATCCTTCCAAAATTCAACAGCTTGTGTCTGAAGCATCTTGTTCCTATTGGACACTAAAATCATTTCACATAGGTTCACTTCTTCAACTCAGCTATACATCTTTGTACTTATTTTAGCAGCTAAAATTACTCAGTATATTTTACAAATTATGGCAATAAAACATTATTAAGCAACATTTGCTTCTTTTAATAGCTTTAGTTTTATATTTCCGAGAATGTAATCAACACCGGCAATCTAAGCCTTAGCCGAGGTTCAATTAGATAGAGGCCAACTTGTGGCAACAAGATTGGCCGTGTTGAAATATAATACAGTGTAATTACAGTGTCAGTGGTGCAATCTGGATGTGCAATAATGAGTATTTTATTGAAATTCTAAAACAGATAAAAACTAAATTTGTCTTTCCAGAAATTGTTTATGATCACAGTCCTCCCAGAAAGTCTCTGAGGGAGCTTTGACGTGGGATTTTTATGATCTTCCAAAATTTATATACCATGGCAACATCCGTCCATAATTATGAAGTTTATTTTGGAGGGAGAGTTCAGATCCAGCTTTTAGTACACCGTCGCACAGCAGACTTCTTCTTCAAAACGTTAACAAATTAGAAAGAAACTCGGAAAAATATGAACGTTGTTTGATATGATTGTTCAAGCATGTCCTATGTTTAATAAAATAAAAAAATAAGTAGCTTGTTATCAGACGATGACATAAAAGCTTTGGTCTGTGCAGGCCGTAGTAAACAACATTGCAGAGGCTTTACTGCCTCTGCAATTTACAGCGGGCTAAAAGTGTCCCATCTCTCCGCTGATTCAAGTATGCTTACTTCATCACTCACAATAGCAACTGAATGAAAACACAGGCTAAGGGTATTTCTACATGAAGGTCAAAATCAAAGGCATTTCATAACATGCCTCCACAGTGACAAACATGTCATCAGAAAGGATCATAAAGCATGAAATAGGAGCATTAGCCCCATTATCCAGGAAATTGCCTTCCTAGCATCACAAGAGGCTCTACACCACAGCCTACAGAGGTGGAAATGCATTTGCAGCTTATTTAGATGTATACTAGGCTACTATATGTCAAATAAAAACCATGTCTCCTTGCTCTGCATTTACTGAAAATAAATACACTGCAAGGTCGATGTATTGGCAATAATGCTTCAGGGTCTATTTCTACTGCACAGGGAGTCTATTGGTTATCTAAATGTTATCAGGACCAGCGATAAAAACTCAATATCCCAGCAGGTCACTCACATTACACTGGCTTCTGACACCGCAAGGTCACTTTAAGTCCCTCAAGTCTCCTTATCTTCATGCTCCTGTGTATTGTAGTGCATGTGTGTGTTCTGCAAATATAGTCGTGTGTGTGTGTGTGTCATCATTGAGACATGCGGTTACTTTATTGATATTTTCTGGTAAAGAGTTTAATGAGGATTGACTCAACACATTTAAATGAAATCATATTTATTTTGTTGTCTCGTAGTGTAAAAAAGAAAAGGCTCAGATTGCAGTTGGCTCTTCACAGAAGAAGCGACATTCTTCACTAAAATGTGAAAGCAGAAAACACACACACACGTAAAGAAATCAAAAACAAAAAGCTAGATGCACTGGTCTGTAAAATTCTACAACACTAATATTCTTTCACAAATATTCAACCATTATTTTTCATACTGATTTACGGAAACAACAATGAAAAAAATGACAGCACGACTAGTGTGTGTGTTTTTATAGCACGACAAACACATTTCGTTCAGAAAAATATATATATTAAGTGCTCACAATGTAGTTTTTCATTAAGTTAATTTGTGCATTGGAGTTAAAGATTTTCACAAAAATAATTTGAGGAGATAATTATTATTATTTTATTTTATTTATTTTTAATATAATCTTGTTATAATTCTAATTTCAATGAAAGATAGATTCATTCTCTAATTTCATTTTGAAAATCTGGAATATAATCAATATATTTTTTAATTTAATTCAATTAATAATTAATTCATCTAGAGTAAATTCTGAGAAAATGAAATTAATTCTACCTTCAATGATTTCACACATGTAACTACATTGCAGCAAAGCGTACTGTGAATAAAACAAAACACATGAATGCAGAATATAAACCAAAGTTTGTGCAGCAAAAACCTATTTTTGACCGACTGTTTTTCACTTTAATATCAGAGATCACCTCTCACTAAACCATTGAGTCATGTAATTAACTCATTTTGCACGATTTATTTACCAAGTTAAACCTCAAATTAATGATGCTGCGTAAAAAAAAATAAACAGAAGAAGAAAGAAGAAAACATCACAAACAATAAAAAGTAAACTCAAAGCTAGTGTGCATTTTTACACATCTGTTGTTTTTCAACATGAGCATCCACCACTCAGCCTCCTCAGTGGTCCGCAATGTGTACAGTGGGGCGAGACGAGCTCATGCTCTCCGGTTACCCATAACCCCCCTCTGCTCTATGCTTCAGTCTCAAGCAGAATGAGGAGAGGGAAAGGCAGAACAACAGGGGGGTCCACACACGCAGCCGAAGGTCCATACAGTTACCACTCAGCACCAGAATCTAGTGTCCAGTTCACAACCCAGTCCAACTCCAGTTCAACCAGTTCAATCCCAGTAGGGGGCGCAGCATCCCTGCTGGACTTTTCCAGAATGTTCAAATATTTTCTTCCCAAATGCCAAAATCTTAAATCTTACAAAAGGCTAAAATAATACATTTATCTTTAAGAGATATATATTTTTTAAAGTCCTAAATTTAAGTCACAAATAAGAGATTGACCTCCAACCTGAGCCAATCAGTACAGCAGCATGTGATATTTGGCCACTTGAAAAACAGGAGGCTGGTGTTTAAAAGAAGAAAATACTAGAAAATTAAATGTAAAATGATGAAAAAGAGAGAGAGAGAAGTTTGTCCTGAAAGGCTCTTTGTTTTGTTCTTCTGGCATCAGACCCAGATATGAGTCTTATGACTAGCTCCACCTCATGTGTAATATTCTTCTCTACTACTTACACAACATTTGGGAGAGGAAAATAACAAGGAATGAATCACTGTGATTCGACATGTCAGTCCCTGAGTCACTATGGTCCAGTTCTGGTAAAAACAAAAACAAAAACATGATTCTTGGTGGAATTTCACTGATAAACACAGCCACAGGAAGCTGATGATGTCTGTTATTAGCTATAGCTTAGCATTGATCGCTTCATGCCAGTCACTGTCTGAGCGGAGATTGCATCATGTACTCTGAGTAGTGTCTCCCAATCAGATGGAGGACAGGGGTGAGGTCAGCAGTGGTGAGGAAGGTCCAGGATCATCAGGTGATCAGCAGGAGGAGGAGGAGGAGGAGGAGGAGTGGAGGCGAAGTGGTCTTCAGTGAGCAGGCGCTTCTTGGAGGTGCGGTCCCTGAACAAGAGAAAGAAAACTTTGTTCATTAAATATTATGTATCAGATACACTAAAGTACTTTATGTTCACAATCTTGTGACTTTTGATCCAGGCCACTTTTTATTTTTAACCCTAACCCTACGGCTACCCTAACAGATAACTGTGCAGTCTGGTTCTGTTCTTAGTTTCTGCCTGTCAAAAGTAAATTTTTCTGGTCACTTTTGTCACCATGTTCACTCATGGTGCTTTAAGTTGAGTCCATCTCTGACCATGAGATATCAATCCTATTGGGATTTTAGGCTATATAAATAACAACTTAAGTCTGAGGAAGAGCATGTTGGCTCGAAACGTCACTTAAACTACTTAAAATAAACCCTTGGGAGCTCCTTGGTGTGTGGATCTTGATTGCTTCTTTTTACCTAATCGTGTTTTTGGATCCAGCACCCACTTAGGGATGTGCGTTTCTTTTTTGTTTTTTCATTGAGGCTATATAAATGAAAAATGTATTTATTGAATTGAATCTTCAGAGTTTTTCGAGGTGTCAGAATTGTGGATGTAGTTGCAGAAGAACTTTACATACCAGCTTCAATTCCTGCAGGGATTTAACATTTTACAAGTTCCAAATTCTTGCAGAAAAAGTTTCCAAGAAAGTAAGGGTATTTTCACATCGCATCGATTACGATTTCTCGATGTAGCACTCTGTCCACAAGCATTATTCATTCGACCACTTTCTCAAACGAATTAGTCCAATTACCTTCATGTGTTCTCTCATTTTCATGTTTTTGGTCCACTAACTTTCTTTTTAAGCCACATTTGAACTTTTACTTTACACACACACAAACAGAATGTTGCATATACTTCAGTATTTATGTAAGCCAAAAATGTTTCCTTAGAAAAAAAATGGGTTTATAATGCTTCATCTCACCTTGTATTTGTTTTGAACCTTCCGATGCTGCAAAAAGAAAGAAAAGAAAGCATGACTTAGATAAAGTTGAGGCAAAGAAACAAGTTGCTGATTAGTCATTTCTGCATGCTTAACTTTCTCATAAAGCTGCTGCTCTGTGGAACAAAAGAAGCCAGAAACAGACAAATGACCACGGGGAGGTATTAACCATTACTCAAAGCCTAACGCCATGAAAAATGAGTACTGACTGGCTGTGCAACCCTAAATATGTCCCCCTATGCAAATTCTCTTAAAGGTCGGTGAAAAAAAAAAAAAAAGAGCTTGAGAAGCACAGCAACAGGAAAAGATAGTGTTATGGAAATTAGGAGGGGTAAGAATGATCGAGATTATACAGAGGGGATACAGGAAATGAAAAAGAAGGGGGAAAACACGGGAGAAAATTCAAAACGACAGAGCGAAACCAAGAAGTGGACAGAAGATGAAAGGAAAGGCAGCGGAGACTCGAGTGAGAAAGTTTGGCGGAAAGAAAAAGAAGGTTGGAAAGATTGAAACAAGGTCAGACAGAGAGAAACAGGGAGGGAAAGAGAAAGAGACGGAATAGGGGGGTGTTTGTGTCTGGGCGTCACTTTCTCAGCAGGGGGCGGACTAAAAGGAAATAATGGAGGGAAGGATGGAGGGACTGCAGGATGGAGGGATAGGGGAGGGGGGTGATGAGATGTGGAAAAAGGTAGCGAAGCTTTAAAGGGGAAACGGTTAAAACCCCTCAGAAAAAAAGGTACGTTTGTACCGGTTATTAAATCAGTTTAGGGCCTTGAACCCACCCTGACACAACCCCAAAGACTCCCACAAGCTTGCACACACGCACACATTAAGACAAAGTGTGTGTTGATGTCTGCAGGAAAACTACCACCTATCCACATCCCGCAGCGATTGACTGAGATTACAGGAGAGGAAATGGGACACTCTGTGCTCATCTGTTGCAGGCTCACACAGCAGAGGGGGGAAAGGATTTATCAAATGAAGGCTTAGCGTGGAAACACAGTGTTTGCCTGTAAGATCCATCTTGTACCTACAGGTCCTGCGCTGCAACATGTCGCCCTGACAGACAGACCAAATTACTCCCAGGATATGTACAACTAACGACCATCGAGAGGTTAACGAAGCATTAAATAGCATGCTGGGCCCAGGCCTCTCCATGAGCTGCTGTGCATGCCTGTGTGAGTCTGTGAGGATGTTACCCTCATTGTTTGGGGGCAAAAAAAAATAAATCAAAGCAAACAGAAAAATACTCGTACTTGTGTTCAAAATAGTTCCACATATGTGCACAAAAGAGCAGGAAATGTCATGCTGCGTTTATTTAAAAAAGAGCTTCTTAATTGAAGAATGTTGGATTTATGTTTTTCAGCCCACGTTTAAGACAATTTCATGACCAAAGAATGTTTTTTTAATAATCTGCCGTCCTTTCAAGCTAAAAAAAAAAGCTAAAAAATGAAAAAGGTATATAATGTTTTCAATTCAGCCGTTTAACTTCATTAAAATAACAACAAAATGATTTAATAAAGATTAAAAAAAACATATCTTAAAGAAATCCAGATTATATCACTCAATTATTCTTTTATTTAGTTTTTCCACATAAAAATAATTTCCGTATGACATTTACAAAAAAAACCTGAATCAGACTTATTTATCACTTTGGTAGATGATAAACGTTTTAATTAACAGTATCAAGAAGTATTTCTGTAACACGACGCGGCCCCGGGAAACTTAAATGCGCCCTCGTTAAATGCCTCGTGTTTACCCGACTGAGTGATTTGTGTGTTTTGATCTCCTTTTAAAAAGCCATTCGTGCAAAAAAAAAAAAAAAAACCCTGAACACTGAGGTGACCAGATTGTGGCAGCATCATAATTTTTGGTCATGGTGAGCTCTGCCACAAAATGGCGTCCATGGTGCTGTGAATGTAAAAAAATAAAAAATAAAATACAGTTCTGTCTCTGCACTGCAGCCAGACACATGCAGCATGTATGACTGTACATGCACAACTATGGCTAAATGTGTGAGAGTGTGTGTGTGTGAGTGTGTGTGAGTGTGTGTGTGTGTGTGTGTGTGTGTGTGTGCTTGTGCCAGTGTATGTGTGTGTGCGCCTTTCCAGTCAGAAGAACGCCCCACTGCAGAGGCTGACACTGTTCCACCATCCCACCTCTCCACTCATGCCGCCATTTTACACATTCAGGAGCTAACGCTAAACAAACCTGTGAGTTTTAGCATTCAAATAAAAAGTTCAACAGAATTTGCACTTAAAATCAAGTGAACAAATTATTTGCCGAAAGCGGTTAAAGTCAGATTTATGGTGTTTAGTTCGGTATCGGATGGCGCTCGGTTTTTGGAAAGCAAAGTGTGTGTGTGCCTGTTTTTGAGCTCTATCCTTGTGTGTCTCGAGTTCAGAGGGTACAAAGGTATTTGGGAGAGGGTGGTGTAGTGGTGGGGTGGGGTGGGGTGGGGTGGGGTAGAGAGCAGCGATGTAAGAAATTTCAACAAAAAAAAAGGAAAGAAAAAGAAAGAAAATCGCAGGAAAAAAAAAGAGAAACTGGGGAAATGGTGAAGCTCTGCAAACTGAAATGAATGCAATGGACTGCTCACAGCAGGAGGACGACAGAAAGGAGGGAAGGGAGACGAAGAGAGGAGAAGAATCAATTAGAGAAAGAGAGAGAGAGAGAGGAGTCGGTCTGTAATGGTTTCTCACAGTGGGACGGCTGCAAAAGAGAAATGGCGGAGAGGCAGAGCAACAAGGAGAACAAGAGAGATAAACACAACAGGAGGAGTTTTTTTAGGGAGAAGTTGCAGCCACAAAACAAAACAAAAAAGAAAGGTAAGTATGGAGTGAGAGGCGAAGCGAGACGGTGAAAGATGCACCGAGGGCTGCAGGCAGGGCGTCGGAGATTTCATGTGACATCCGTCTACTGATGCCAATTCAGAGCCTTGTTTTCTGATGCAACACCTTTCTGCTAAGCTCTTTCTCTGGCGTGGATCTTGACAGTGGTGCGTTCAAATACACATCAAAATCATAAGAGAGAACCAGAACCTAGTAGAAACCAAAACAGCCTTTACCATGCTAAGTTACAACCAGGATGCAGAAACATGCAAAGTCGGAGCGAAAGATTCACAAACAAGAAGTCATTTGGAGCTGCTGGTACAGATGAGTCGGTCCTGCCTGGTTTTATTGTGATCTTGTGTTAAATTAAGGTGATGAACACACACATTTTCACACCCTGGAGAGGAGACCGAGGGACTGGCTAGTTGTGGCTGACCTTGGAGCAATGACAGCGTACCTGACGGACCCTCTCACTGTCACAGACCAGTGTGACAAAGGTGTGTGCGTGCAGGTAATTAATTAAAAAAGCTACAACAGGGCATCCCCTCATGGAGCGACCTTTAATCACATGGGCTTCTTCTGTGGGGTCAAAAAAAAAAAAAAAAAAGTTGGGGGCGGGAGGTACATGTTTCGAAGTGGAGACATGAGAGGAGATGCAGCTGAAGGACAAGAGAGGCTGCCATCACCTACGGCCACACACACACACACCCACAAACTCATACACACTGGCCCTGCTGCCATGCTACCTGTCAGATAAAAGGCAACCTGAGCAGGAAGGAACTAAAGAGTATGTGAGGTGTTACCACAGGGAACAACACAACAACAGCTGTGGTAAACCGCCACTAATGGACAGCCAAAGAGAGAGAGAGAGAGAGAGAGAGAGAGAGAGAGGAAGACCCTCCAACTCTCCTTCATCTCCTCCCTCACCTCATCCATCTCATTCCCTCTCTACGGCCTCATGTATCCTCATCGCAACGCTCTCGCTGCACAGCATGCGCAAGACAGAGATGGAGCGGAAAAACAGGAGAGAGGTGAATAAACGATATTGTAGATATGGAGATGCAACGAAGGAGACAGAGAAGACACAGGGAAGGTGGAGGAGTCAGGGGGGGGGGGAGGAGGAGGAGGAGGAGGAGTGGGAGTAGTGCCGTGGATAGCACCTAGATTAGTTTTGCTCCAGTAGCGAAAGATCATAAAAAATGAGGAAGGGAGGAGAGAGCTGAGGAGACAGAGAGAAGGGGAGGATTAGTGCCACTTCAAGAATGACAGAAGACTAAAAAAGGAAGAGAGAAAAAACAGTAGTGGGGTGGGGGGGGAAGACATGGACAGGGAGATCCTCAAATTTAGTCGGGATTAGTTTTGGTTAAAGAACAGGATGAGAGGGAGATTAAAAAAAAAACACAAGAAAAGGTGCCAGTAGATCTAAAGATGTGTGCTTTGTAGGTAGAAGTGTTGCTTATGTGAGGTAATGGGCTTTAACAATAAAGATAAGTGTGTGTGCGTGTGTGTGTGTGTGTGTGTGTGTGTGTGTGTGTGTGTCTACAGTCTAAGATGATCCAGGTGATTTCAGATATTCTGATAATTTCTGGCTTGGATGGGCTGATCGGGGAATTCTGTCGGAAGGTCAAGATGACATTTGCATTTCCTCACTGAGCAACTATCTGCGGTTTTTCTAATTAATGACAGCAGGATAATTAACATATAAAAAAAGTCATCAGCCTTCACTGTGGTAATAGTGCAGCAAATTAGTCTCCGTCTCGGGCCGGAACAGAGATGGCATTTAGGAATTCATTTGAGACGGATGGGGCACTTTTTTTGGCTCCATTTAAAAAATATATATTTTCTCTCCACTTTACACCATAGATTGAATCAAGGAAGCTATGACGGATGGTGTTTGTTAGAAAACATGAAGGAATTTAATGAATGGGTCTCACACACACATCCTCACGACCAGTTTTTCTGTGTCTGTTCGTTCAGCCTGGGATGGCATGACAAGCCCCCCTGCAGATAGCACTGGGATGGGAACTGGGACAGACGTCTCAGACACGCACATGAGGTCACACGAACACACACTTGTATAAATGCAATCTCCAGAAAGGTCCATAGACTCATGCACAAACGCACTAAAACACACAGTGCAAAGACACGGACAAAAACGGTCAAAGATGTAGAATTGCACACACACACACACACACACACATACACATACACACACACACACACACACACACACACACACTAACAACTGTACAGGGATTCCCACAGTGACTGGGCAACATTCCCAACCGGAATGGGCAGCTCACTGGACTGGAAGACTAACATTACTCCAGGCGCACTCTGGATTAGATCAACGCTGGGAATTTCACAGTGGGACAGGGAGATGGAGAGTGGGAGAATGAGGGAGACAAGGAGGTTATAAAATGAGAATAGAGAATTGAGGGAGGGGTGATGGAGGGCAAGAGGTGTACTTCAGGGGGAACTTGTGCTTCAAATAACCTAAAACCATTTGACCATATTCATACAGAGGCCTTTTCCTCGCTCAGGGTTGAAAGCTCAAATAACGTAATATTGTTGTACCGATGTGTTCAAGGTTGTTAGTGGAAAAGATTGAGAACATTGTGAACAATACACCTATTAAAGATATGTAAAGAGAAGAGAGTCATATTACAAGATAATACAACACAATAGATAACCCATTAGCTACGGTAAAAAAAAAAAAAAGAAGCTAATGTACAACCACCATAGACAAGTGTTAGCGTTAGCTTGGAAGTGGCAAAAAGCGATTTTGGCAGTTTTACAGACTACACGAGGAAAGGGATAGATTCTGAGCTAACATTATTTTAGCTTAAAATGACAAGTAACAAATGACAAGTTAACATGCTTAATTGCTAAGGTAATGTAAACTAACACTGTGAATTCTGGGAAGTGCTTGACTGCCAGCATTAGCTGAGGAACAAAGGTAGTGCTTAACAAATATGTTGTTTTTCCTTAAGATATGGACACAATTCCTCCCCAAGTTTCCAGTATCAATGTCTTTTCTGATGCTTATTTAACTAGAAGTGGTGAAATGATAATCATTTTCAGGATCCCTTTATTACTTACGAACTGGAATATAGCAGCACAACTATGTTGCTATACGCCCTGATTGTTATGTCAGAGGAAAATGGCTACTGTGCTACAGTAGGTAGTTAGATAGTAAATCTCATTTTACAAGGCTTTAGATAATGCAACCACAGAGAAGAGAAGATAAAATTGGTTTCATTGAGAAAAGTAGAAGGTTAATGCAGCGAGTAGTTCAAAAAGACGAGAAGAAAACAGAGGGAATAATAGTGAGGATGAAAGCAGCCTAAACATCATGCTACATGGCCTTGATAGTAGAGATGAGAGAGGCAGAGAAAGGAGTGTCTCCGTGTGAAAAAAAGGGGAAGCATGAAAGGAAGAACAGATGAAAAGATGAGTGTACTCACTAGGCTCACAGCACACAGTGACACGTAACTTCATACATGGCAGAGGAGGGCCTTCATCTGTGGGCAGAGCTGGAAAGAACAAAAAGAGAAAGGTTTAAAAAGTCTGCAAAATTCCAACTTGTCAAATAAAAGAGACATTTGCATCAACTGAATGAAATCTTCCATCTAATCTACTTTTTGAGGACTCTCTAGTTACTTTTGAAGAACTTTTATACGAGGACAGCGGCTGTTTTCTTGTTGTATCACCTCATTGCCTCATGCAATACATGATATGAGTGTAAAGAATGACACCATATCCCTGTGTCACAGGCACTGACATATATCACACTTATCTGCACAACTAAATAAAAACAATAAAACACAAAATGGAGAGTGCAGCCATAAAAGTCTGGGGCTGCTCTGATATCAATACTGATCACGGCTCACATGGGAAAACAGGCAAACATCGGCTGTATTACCTGTCAGCGCAGTATTGCTTTAATAAAACAAATCTGCCCGGAAACTGCAGTTTAAAGGCTTTATATTAGAATTATTCACAAACAGCTGCTTACTCAACAGGGGCCCTCCACTCAAGCTGAGTGCATGATCGTAGCCGGTCTGTCTCACTTTGTATCTCTGATTTCATCTGAACAGAAGAGAATAACAGTGCCAGGGTGTTGTGATAAGGCACAATCTACGGGTGCTGAGAGGGCTCATCGCAGAAGGACAAAGGATATCTTCAAAGTTTGGCAATACATGTCAGATTTGGAGATACGTAAGAATAAATGAACACAAAATAACTTAAGAGGTCATTTCACCAAAACATGAAACTCACTAGCAAATAAAGAAACTCCACAAATCAGACGCATAGAAACCAACATATCAAGTCTTACCCAAGGTCAACTCACTGGCTGTTTTGGATCTCGGATGACAGCAACTCAAACACAATTCTCACTTTATTTAATCGTTTTCTATTTTTTCATTAAAGCCTTTTTGGATGCTTGGCCTTCGCTGAGCAGAATAGGGATGTCTGTGTGGTCAAGGAGGCACTAGAAAGATGAAGTGACATCATACCTAATGGGAAGACAATCATGGCCCAATTTAATTTTAATACAACTATGATGCTTCAACTTGAAACCTCCATTGATCATACACAGACTTTTCAGTGATGTACCAGACTTATTTTGTACAGTAATTTTTTTCAAATTTGTATATCCGAAGAGCTTTAAAAAATGAATTATTACATTTAAAAAAAATTAAAAACCACTCTACAATAACAAACATTTTTTTTTGGAGATGCATGCTGTGAATTAAGAACCCAAGCCAATTCCGAAAGGAGATACAACAATGGAAATGTTTATATATTTCCATCGAGAAAAGATGCACAGTTGAAGACCCATAAACATAGACCACAAAATCATCCAAGGAATTCAGGTTCATTTAAATGCCGATTGGCTTTTTAGATTGCGTCAAGTTTACATTTTAAACTAACAAATACCCAAAAGATGAAAATGTCACATTTTCACATCAATGATGTCATTTGCGTCCCTCCTTGAGACTGTGTGGTGCCGTTGACTTTCCTTAATTTCATCAAGTTAATAAAAAATGACACCTGTTTGGTCTGAACACACATTCAAAATGTGACATGTTTCTGTTCAATTTATAATGGAGTTGCGTTTTTTTTTTTTTATATTCTTAATTTCAATCGTTTTTATATTTCAAACTGCAAAACATGTAAACATATCTATTTGGCAATTGGAGTGAGATCGCTGGTTGAAAACTGTGAAAAACATTTTTTCCCAGCTCAACAAGCTGCAACATTGTTATCCCATAATTCCTGTACAGGCCTAACATTGGCATAACATAGGATAGCAAAGTGTGACAGCTAACTTTTTTAGTGTTGCTTGGAGGCTTTTGTTTGGTTGTTTTAAACTTTTCAGGATTGCTTTTTGTTTTCTTTATTTCAGTTGGTCTCTGTATAAATGCCCGATATATGTTGTAAACTTGCTTTCTTGAGTTTCATTAACGTGTACGATTTTTTTGTGTTTTTCAAGCAATGAAGATTGCTTACGGATTTCCATGTTTTTCGTGAAAGTTGAGCTCTTTTGGTCATCATGGAAACCCCTCCATGTTTCCCTGTTAAGATCAGCTGACTCTCAGAGGAAGTGAAGGTGTTTCCTGTTTGTGAGGATCCACACATGGAGCAGCAGTGGGGCAGAGACCCAGTGACAGTGTGCTGTCAGTATCATAGTCTGTGGGAGCTGCAAAGAGGAGCTGAGCCAACTAATGCCATTAGTGTTCCTAATACTATTGTACTGTTCTAATGCTATTATTCTATCTCCAGTGCTGCGGGCTCATTCACTACAGAGACCCCAGGGCCAGACATTTGGACCAACTTTATGCTTTATCTTTGATGTGGACAAAACACACACAATCGCTCTTGCTCCCGATGTGGCTCCACCAAGAGGGGGGAACCCATTGTTGCTTTTCTCTGAACGGGCCTGAGCAGCCACAATAGCCCAGTGTGTGTTTGTGTGTGTGTGTACATAAATACATGTGTGTTAGCGTGTGTGTAAAAACCACTCTCTCATGCCCTCACAATACTCCATTGTCCCTCGGACTGCAACAGTAATTTATGTAAAGATTCTTTCTTTCCCTTCGTCTCATCCATCCCTTTTGTTGCTCTCCCTTTTCTTTCACTAGATTCCTCTCATCAACCCCCCCTCCCCTCTTCCTGTACTGTCAGACTGTGTCCATCTTTTGCTCTTTCTCTCTCTCTGTCACTCCTCCACGCTTCTCTACCTCCGTCTGCCCCTCCGCTTGCTTTCTTTTCTTTCCCTCCTTGCTGTTGCGTATTGATCTTCATTTCTTCCTCCTACAATTTGTGGCTCCTTCTCTCTGTCTCTTTGTTGTAACCCCTTTCATACCGTGCCTTCCCTTGACTCTTTCATTCTCTGCCTTGTTTCAAGTCGCCCCCTCCATAGTGGTAAAAAAAAGTAAGAAAAATTAGGTTAACTGATTGAACAGCTACTAAGCTATCTTCTGTCTATGTCCCTCCATTTTCTTCTTCCACTAGGTTGAAGTAAATGATAGATGGGAAAAGAGCACAGGAGAGCGGAATGATCAGTTTGCCAACACTCGACGATTCATAAAAATACAATGGCTGAAGCTGCTCTCAACTTTCCCTCCCTTAAAAATGTAGAGCAGGCTGGGCACATCTTCCTCCAGCATAGGTGTCCATGCACATTCTGAGCTCCTGTGAGGAGTTTTGACCCAGTTACAAAAACACTGAAATTCATTTAGATGTTTCTTTATGAGCTTCAAAAGTAAGTGAGACCAATTGGGGTAAAGATGCCTGAAACGGCTGCAGAAAAACAGCATGTTGCAAAAAAAATATTTTTCAACGGCACATATTCTTGATAAGGAATACATTTGCCGGTTTACATAAAACAGGACAAAAGCAAAAAAAATAAGAGGTACCACTTTGTCTACATTGGGAACTAAAACTGACACAAATTGAAAGTTATTCACAGGAGCTTTAAACATTTATATTTTCTGTTTTTTGGCACCTTTGACTTTATTCACTTAAAATAATAATTGTCTGCCAATTAAAATATTAACAAATTATTTAAATGTATTTTAGTTCTACATTAGAAACGACACAAAATCAATCTGAGATTGACTTCATCAATAATAAATGCTTATGATTCCAATCATCTTGGTTGTTGATGTTTAACTCCATCGGTTAAGGTTACCTTAGGATTTTGCAGAATTTTAGCTCCTTTCAAAACTCAGACTTTGATTTACACTATCAGAGGCATTCATCTTTAACGGAAGTTCAGTTCCTCAAGGTCTTAAAGTCATTCGACAAGTAAAAATCCCAAACATCATCAAGTTCAAGCTTTTTTATTCTAAAGAAATGCTGGTTTATCCTTGTTATTTTAGAGTCAACAGAACAGCTTTAGGAATTTGATCACTGGTTGGACAAAATTAACAGTTGGAACGTGTCATTTTCGGAACATCCATAGGAAAATGTAATGGACATTTTTGACTTTTCTTAATCTTTTTTTTAGGGTATTTCATTTTATTTTATTTTTATTTTATTTTACGAAGGTAGCCCCAGAAGAGCTATCTTGACAGGCTTTGATGTTAGCTAATGCACGATACCTCAACAGCAATAGTAGCTTAACTTTTGGACTTGCTCATTTTGTTCCCAACTTTTTTTTTAACCCTGAACTGTGGAGACAAACCAGATTGTCCCACATAGCAGAAGGTTATCTGTGTCAGGCACACTCTCACAACTCAGTGTTCTAATGTTTTGGTGAGGGAGGATGACTGTTCTTTGTTTTTTTTGCACCCTTTTTTCCTTTATTAGATAGGACATCTTTAGAGAGACAGGAAATGTTGGGAGGAGAGAGTGGAGGATAGCAAGCAGCAAAGGGTCCAGGTTGGATTCAAACCCATAGCCGCTGCTAGAACGAGTTTAGCCTCAATTCATGCGCGCAACAGAACCACTAGACAAACGGTACCTCTGTTCATATCACTTCATATTACTACTTAATAACTATGACTGCACACTCTGACATGCACACATCCTGTACTCACAGCTGTAGTAGTAGTGTTGCCCTGGTAGAAACTCAAACCCCAGCGAGAAGGGCGTGAACCTTTGTATCTTCTCAGAGAAGCGAACTGGTCCAAACGGAGCATATGGGGTGTTACACTCCCACCGCTTGATGGCCTGTCTGGTCTCCACACAGCCCTGAAAGGACGCCTTTCCAACCAGGTAGAGGGCCAACGTTTCTGGCTGCCCGTTGCTCACAGTCCCCTTGTTTGGGTAGTGTGGACAGTAAATGTCCAGGTAGTCATTCAGATTCACCTGGACGGACAGATCTCCTGCCAGTAACCTGGAAGGAAAACAACAATCACATTAATATTTGATGTAATGATTACACAATGTGATGCATGACTAAAGGGGATAGGAGGTGGTGATTAATCCCAGACAGAGAGAGAAAGATGACAGATGACAGGTTTCCCATAATTCCTTTGTGCCTGGAGGAATTTGGATGGTTACAGCAGATGGATAGTTCATCAATATTATACAAAACAATTACACAGGGTTGTAAAGCAAAGATTTGCAGGGGTTTAAAATATGTTTTTATAAAACAAAAACCATAAAACAACAAGACAGTATGACTATTCTTCATACGCTAATTAAGACCACCGAGGGGGGTTGAGTGTAAAATAAACTCGACTCCCTCTGCTTTTCACTCTCCCTCTACACACTACAGATACACTGGCATGAGCTGACTTGAGCAGACGTGCATGTGCATGCACAACTGCGTCTCCAGTCAAGGTTGACCGGCTTTAGGCATACCAACAACTCTGGACAAGACAGCATCATTAGAACAGAAGACTTGCATAATGCATGCTCCTTCAGACTGCGAATCCTGACTTCCTGTCAGCAGCTGTATAAAGAGTTAGCCATGAACAAGCCAATACGGAGGAAGAAAAGACAAGAGGAAGACGTAAGACAAAGTACGATCATCTGACTTTTGTTTGATTTATGACGGAATGATAGGACAAAGTAGAGGGAAATAAGTGATGGGAGAAATGTGTGACAAATGGAGGGAAGGAGTGAGAGTGATGGAGTGACATTAGCGGGCAACGAAGTGGAAGACAGAAGAAGACTGATGAAAAGCGAGGTTATTGAGACAGGCTGGAGCAGACAGGTGGAACTAAAAAAAATTAATAAGAAAGCAGAAGGAAAAGTTGAGTGAACAGGTGAAAAAAGTGGAGTAAAGAGTGAAGAAAGTAAAGAGTTTTAATTAGTGACCCCAGAGAGTCTGAGTGCAGACACACTGAGAGGAGGAGAAGAACAACAGATTGGGAGAAAGAAAGGAGATGGACTCTAATTGGTCTCTTCTTCATGTGGAGCAAAGGAGGGGAAAAAAACCCCAATGATGAGCAGAATGCGGCACGGCAAGAAGGTTCAGGTCCATCAGTGGGAGTCTTTATAGAGGGGTGACAGAGCGGAGGAGAGAGGGAGGAGAGAGGAAGAAGGGAGTGCTGGGAGTCAGTGAAGGAGAACATGGGGATGGAACAGGAAGGGGGAGGGAAGCGGGGTGGTGCCGGACAGTGCGAGCAGTCTCAAGTTAAGTAGGTGGACAGAGAGGGGAACGAGAGAATAAATGAGAGGAGGAGGAGGAGGAGGAGATAGAAGAGGTAAAATGAAACAGAGAGACATGACAGGAGGCAGCTGACTGAGATGGTTTGAAGATGGATGGAGCAGTGAGAGGAGAAATGACAAAGAGAGTGAAACTGAAATAGACATCCACGCTTTCTGTTAACTTTGAACCAGAATGTTGGCGCGATGGTGGACGTCTCTGAGTGAGATAATGGAGCAGAAAGGCAGAAGTGTTTTGTGTGTGTGTGTGTGTGTGTGTGTGTGTGTGTGTGTGTGTGTGTGTGTGTGTGTGTGTGTGTGAAAAGCAGGTGAGGCCCAGGAGGCAGGTCTCACCAAAGCTGCTTCCTGCTCAATAGCTAGCGCGCAGAATTGGCAATCTATCAACGGGACAGGACACCATCGATCTGGATTGCTCGCTCAGGACACACACACACACACACACACACATGCACAGACACACACACACACACATTCTCCCTTGATCAATATCCCTACTGTGAATGTCTTTGTAAGAGAGAGAGAGTGTGTGTATATATGTGTGTGTGTGTGTGTGTGTGTGGGGGGGGTCAGATAGCTCTATTACCTGTGCCTGCTAATTACAGCCGAACAAAGGCACTGGATTGTCTAGTTAAGGAAACACAAAATCACATAAGCCAGTGTAACACACACACTCTCACACGCAGCAGCAGCTGGTTTCTTGGCACTACCTGTGGTGCTTTCCGATGCTTCTCCAAAGTACAGAAGTGTTTGTTTAGGTGCACCAGCGCTGGAAATGTGTGTGTGGTGTGTGTAATAATAATAGATGTGTGCTGTGTCAACATGCAGCATCCCCTGCCATACATGTCATTCACCTCAAGATTCTTCTTCACAGCTCATGTCTTGTCCTGCCCCCCAACCCAAATCTGCATCCCTACTCATCTCGTCTTTCCCCCTCTCATCTTTCACCACTTTTTGATAACAGACTCATCCAATCTACCAATTCAGGGGGTGCAACCCCCCCCCCTTCTTCCACGCGCCTTGGCCTTCACCATATGCACGCCAGCAATTACAAAGACGGTGCGCTCTACTGATGTCAAACTGTCATCTCTCCTCTTCCCTTCCCTTGCCTCTCTTTCTCTGGTCCTGGGTACGCCCTAATTACACTCAGCATCCTCCCCTCCTGCCAGCCACTGTGCACCCAGAGTGGTGACAGCACAGAGGCATCATGGGAGAACCGCAGAGAGCTGTAGGTGTAAAAGAAGAAGAGTGCTGGAGCAGCCTATCAGCAGGAGAATCCTCTGGAAGCGGAGGAGAGGATTGGTTTGGTGCAGAGTGGAGAGGGCACACACACACATACACATGCAACCCCCCAACACACACACACACACACACACACACACACACACACACACACACACACACACACACACACACACACACACACACACACACACACACACACACACACACACACACACACAAACACACACAAACACACACACACAAGCATTTAGACTTGAAAGTAGTTCAGGAGAATAAAACATGTTGTAACCCTCATGCCAGAGGGTGATCAGCGACACCCTTCTGAGGACTGGTGCAGGCTCGCAGTTGATAAAGAAAAATCTCACCAAGGAGCCGAATCAAAAATAACACGCTGCGCTCTTCAATGGAACACTTGAAACGGCTAATATTTAGCCTTTTTTATGATTACAGGAAATCACATTCGATATTCAAAAATGGAACATAACCGTTGTCCTCCCAATGTGTGTCCATGTTAATGTATGTGCACACAGAAGCTGCGCACGTGTGGGTTTGTGTGTGTAAGGCTTTGCGTGTGTGTGTGTGTGTGTGTGTGTGAGCCGGCAATTTTAATGAAATGCAGGGGGTTGACTGTGCTGGAGACCTTTGATCCTTTAATATGAGAGAATAATTAAAGGAGCAACAATCCCACAACACAGCTTCAGGAATACAGAACAGATACTCGATCACGCACAGCAGCTGCATACTGTGCATACTGAATACACTTGGGCACTAAACGCAAGTATTGCACACAAACATGGAGGGATAATAGTATTCTTCTACAACTAAAATGCTAATATGATGCTGCTTATAGTGTACTATAAATCCCCTATGAATTCAGAAAATGTATACTGTAGATGCTGTAGCTCTAATGAACACTTGTGATGCTGCGTAAATGGCCTCAGTCAAAGGCTGTTGGTTCCTTGCAGTGATGATGGGGGGGTCGAAAAGCTTGGTGAAAGGCCTCAGTTCTTTAGTGGCCAATCACAGCAGGGCGATGGCTAACTCTGGTCACTATGCTGACTGGGCACAGCACGCTGTGGTCACTGTGCCTTGGCCGGCCATAGCATGACACAGAGTTAGCCTTCATGGTGGCTGCTGCAGAAACACTGTTGGTTAAGTGCCAGAACCTTTGCTCTTCTTTGAGGATGACTTTGTGAAATAGTATTCTTTTTTTCAAGTGTACCAGATGGGTAAGATTAAGCACACAATGACAGATGAATGGATGCCAAGTGAGTCATTATTCTGAACGAATACCACAACTAACTAGGCTGACCTACTGGTTGTGTTGGTATTCTTTGTATCACACTTGGTTTAATCTAGCTATTCATCATGATGCCTCATCCTTTCTTTCCAGCCAAATATCTCACTGAAATCACTCCATTAAAATAGAACAGCTGGGAACAGTGGACTTGCTTGTTGAGTTGAAGTAAATCTGTGTAGAGCTCATAGAGTTTAAACCTGGTGAACAATGGCACAACCCTCTCACCACTGCCGCTATCCAAGGTTATATTATTTTCAAAATCTTGTGCAGGTCTGTGAGTAGAAACTGTTTCCTACACGGAGAGCAAAGTAAGATGTACAAACAGCTCTCAAAGACAAACTACTTTAGCTCATTGCCTGTTCACATCACGTCCTATGTACTTCAACATTGTATGAGAACAGAAAGAGCTATCTTGGTTGTTCAAATTTGAAAATAAAGAGGGCAGTTCCTAATATGGAGTTCAAAAAGTAATAATCATTTCAGCCACTTTGCAGCTGTCAATGCCGTAAAACGAAAGAAATGTCATGCTGGCAGATTTGACGGTTTCAAGGAGTATCAGTAGACAATAAGCTGTAAGTGGGTTATTTCAACAGATTAACACAGCATGAAGTGAACATTTGACATGGGTAAATATCATGGCTGAGAACCTTTTGAAATGTATGTGACAAATTTTAAAAATATTGAATACATAAAAACCTGAGAACAGGGATTAACACCCCAGAAGTTCTACCTTGACAGGCTTTGTTGTTAGCTAACGCATGTTACCTCAACAGCAATAGTAGCTTAACTTTTGGTCTTGCTCATTTTTTTTCCCAACTTTTTTTTTTTTTTTACCCCCAACTGTGGAGACAAACCAATAGTTTCTGCCAAGCCACTTTCTTGGGAAAACAGGAAAACTCCTACCATTTAAGTCCACCTGAATGCTATTCATGTGTAGCGAAAAAAACAAAATCTTTTTGTTGGGCAAGTGAATAAAACCTGAGTTTGGAACTCATCATGGGAAAGCAGCACTGTACTGAGAGGAATAATTTAAGGAAAGTATGAGAATAGTTTATGGCAAAAACAGCCCAAAGACAGTCCGGGAGGAGGTTGTCCACCCACAGAACGAACATTCAAAGAAGGTCTTCAAAGCTTCAGTATTCCCTTGCTCCACAGCCTATCCTACCTAGAGGAAAAAG